TAATTTTTTTTTATGTTACTAATATTGTCAATTATTATATATATGAACGATTATATATTGACTACAGAGAAGTGTAATTTAGGATGGACCGCTGACTTTGTATGCCTTAGTTCTTTCAATGCATTTGATGATAAAATAAAATCAAAAGCGTATATATAAGTCCGTGCCGTGGGATTCGGTCAAAACAATATATTTGTTGATCATCTTGGTTTATACTTTTGAAAAGAAAAAAAAAATCATGGGAAAGTATATTTGAGAATTATGTGTTGTTTGAGTTTTGCTTTGTTGAGCTTTGATATCACAGTGAGAATAAAGTCACAAGAATAGATTAATATTTTGTCTTCATTGCAAGACATGTAAGTTACTCCTTGAGAACAAACAAATAATATTAAACTTTTCTTCAAGGTGCGTGTAATTTACTCCTACTTTTGATATCTTGTATGCACTGAAATTGATTTGAGATTTTCATGAAATTAATTTTTCCAATAAGCGCCTATAATGTGGGGTTATGTTTCATTGCTTGTACTCATGTTTATTCTAGTGAAGCTATGAACGATTATGCACCTTAAACAACTTATATGTGAAATTATGACTAAAATATTTTTAGCTTGCAGTTAGTTATAACGTGCAGGTTTAAAAGTGCTGACGAGCAAATATATGACCAGAAAGAAAATATTTTTAGCTTGCAGTTAGTTATAACGTGCAGGTTTAAAAGTGCCAACGGGCAAATATATGACCAGAAAGAAAACTTACATATACCTTGTGAAGGCAATCATAATAAAATGACTTGTTAGTCAGATATCTGCATGCCTCGCGGAGACTAAATGCAAAATTGTCGAGGGGTATGTGCTTAAGCCCCGTAAGGGAGTCACCTAAGGAAGAAACCAACTTTTGTGATTGGAGATCCCATGAAGGAAGTTCAATGTGGTAGAAACAATCCATATTGCGTGACTCATTATAGCACTCTGTTGACCCTATAAATTACAATGCCTACGTGGCGCGGAGGCCTAGTAACTAACCGGCTAACTAAGTCCTTCGGTTGAATGCGGGGCATGCCAACTCGTCGACCGAGCTCAACCGAGGAGTAAAATTCGTTGTTTTCGCGTTGAGCGCGTTGCTGACTTCTTAATCTTGCGACTGCAATCGAGGAAGGAACACTCTCGGTCTTTGGGTTCTAGAGCCTGAAGACGAGGCTACTAGTCATGCGAAGTTCACAAATCGTCGGTGCCTGATTCAGTTACCGTGATTATATTCGTAAGAGTATAAGCACGTCGAATCGACACCAGACTATACGGACACAAATATTCAAAGGTAATGTATGTCTTGACAGTGAACGTGGTTCAGCCGTCAGAATGCCGAACTCTAAAACTCACCCGTGAATACCCAATCATAAAATCACTCGGCGTCCAATACGTCGAATGTCGTAACTCGTGACACCTTACTTTGCCGAGAAGGCTAATAAGATGACCCCTGCCAATAAGGATCCGAAAACCCTCCTCGGCAAAGACTTGGATAGGTAACCAGTCGACCTCGACGCAGTGCTGTTTAACCAAACTAAAGATGCCCCTTGGTCGGCTGATTCTACGGCGACAGTGCTGTTTATCCAAACTGAAGATGTTCGCCGGTTGCCTTCACAGTGCTGTTTATCCAAACTGAAGGTGCGTTGGCAGAAAAAGAAAAGAAAAAATCTCAAGATGTTTGAGAGGTTTTGCGTAGGGCAATTGTATGTTGAATTGAAGGTCATTTTCTATTGCATGATTTCTTGTATTTATAGCACCCAATCCTTGAGACCGAATCGAATCCCTATCTGGATTGGGAGTCCTTGTCCCGTTCCAACTTTACTTCGAACAAACCTACTCCCATTAGGACTTTGAACTTTCCCCCCTTCCGAGGCTTTATTCCTTGCTGGCCGGGAATCCTGGTTGCACCAGGACTTCCTCGATCCTTTTTATTTATCTGGACTATTCCTTCTTAGGATAGGACTCGACCGACCCTGCTAACTGGCCCGGAATCTATCACTCAGCCCACAACATTTGACACAGCTTTGGGCCGAGCACAACCCTCTGCTCGGCCCAACAATATTATTTCGGGCCCAAACACACTCATATTATAATGAAGATATCCAGGAGATATTCTTTCGCTCATCCCTAGGACTTTAGTGCTATTTTATGTGGCGTTAGGAAGGGTATTAACCCTAAATGAGTTTTGAGGCAGGCAATCTCCCGCAGGGTACAGGTCACATGTACTCTTGGAAAACTCACCTAAGTGAGAGTAGTTGTGAGGCTGCGACTGTGAGGATTGGGCTGTCCTCTAATAACTCTCATGAGAATCAAGATTAAGCTCATGGCCATAAATAGCGCTAACCCGCACCAAGTTTTCGATCGGTACCATGTGTGTTACATTTAGTATTCTGGTCAAAAAGAGTCTAGTTCAAGACATAGTTCACTATGATTCCTTCATATGAAAGTTGTTAACACTAAGTGTAGGTTCAAGTTCAAAAAACACCTACATCCATTGCATGGTATACAAGTTGCCCAAATTTCTTCCATTCATATATATATATATATATATATATATATTTACGTCTTCTACATTTCTATGGAGTTTTGAATCTTGTGGGAGATTGTTGGTTATTTATTTTATTTTCTTAAAGATTCAAAACTTTATTTATTATTATTTTAAATAATAAATATAAAGAGTCGTATCACTTAGAGAAGTCTTGTCTTTTACCAAAGGTTATATAGAGTTTTATAAATTGGGAACTCCACAAACGTTAATAAAAATTAAAAAAGTTTTCCTTCTCTCCCTACTACAGTACTCATATATAATCGTTATTATCTTCCTTTTCATCCTGACCATTAATGGGCAATTAATCACTACTTGGCACCCCGTCTACCGTAATCGTGCTTTATGGATTAGACACTTTGTGAGATTCAAGGGTTATATTTTGGAGTTGTAGATAACCGTTATAACTGGCACGTAGAGAGGCGTCTACGGCTTTAGGACAGTGACAACACGTCTCACTTTATATCATAGGCCATATCATTCTTTACCTTTTTCTTTTTATTGTTATGCTTATTGATATATGTGTTTAATGCATTTGGGTCTAATTAATTGAATTTATATATGTATTATCATCATAATAATTTTTTCTATCCTACAAATTTTAAGAGCTCGGATTGATGAATTAGGTGAATTTAATAGAAGAAATCCGGTGGATCACTTTCCTACGTCGACCTCAAAGTTTTGTCCTCATCAGCGGTCCCCATTCACACGTGGAAGAAACACACCTGTGCAGCAGCGAGAGCTTGGCTGTGATAGGCAGTTGGAGTCCATGGCCTGAACTTTATTGGCGGGCATTGGGCAGTGCGGGGCTCCCGAGAACCTAGCTGCTTGCCAAAAGCCAAGAAACCAAACCAATAGGCCCACAAAAGAACTGCCATTTTGTCGGGAATCGGAGATGAAGATCTTAGAGATTTTCATATTCCATACGTTTTTTGTACATCTTGTGATCAGTTTACGTAGATATTATTTGTATTTAATTTTAAATAAAAAAATTTAAAATAATTTCTATTCACACAATATACAATGAACGGATAAGATGTGAAGATGAAAAAGAATTCGGATGGAATCGTCTTCATCCTAGTTTCTTCTCTTCCATACTTTTTCCTTTATTTTTTAGATTTTGCTGGGGTTAATTGCTCTCTTCCAAAAATTTTGCTTAATTTTTAGACCTGAGAGGTGGTCAATTTACAGAACTTGCTGGCCTTGATATACTTATCTGAGTGACGGTTGGATTATGAACTTTATAATCACTGATCAATTAATATTTAACTCAATAAACCAAGTTTTAACAGAAAAAGAAAAAAAAAACATTCCTCCTGTTACATAGAAGAAATTTTCCTTAAAGAAAGTATGGTTCTTTCTCAAATTGTTTTAGAGCCTCGTATGAGCCTTCAACACAAAATATGCAAAGAAAATAGAATAAGCCGCATATTAGACTATTAGTGAAAACTAATTGTACTTTATTACTACTAATTGATTTTGTGATGAATATCGTAATGAAGAGAAAGTCGTTGTATTGCCTAAAATAAATTGAAGAAAAAAAGTGTACAATTTGTGAAGCTAAAAATTCAAAAATAAAAAGTTCGCAGTTTTGAAAGTTTAGCTATATATTCACGCCATGCATGTCCATGGCCGAATTGCAAGCCATTACAATTACAATGTGGATTCAAAATATTAGGTATTTGAAATTCCAATCCAATCGCGCAATGCCACGTTCGTACATTCATGCTTTGGAGGCCAAGGGATCAATCGTAATGAAATTACTTTGTTTTGGCTTGAATTTATTGAGCTGCATGAATCTATGTCTGCATCTAGAAATCAAAGCTGCAGTTTTATACTTGGCATAAATGATTCTGGATTTCTGATAGTCGACCGGAATCGGATCGGAACAGCTTGGAATTGTTGGAAGAAGAACCCTTTGGTTGTTGCAACATTGCTCTCCTTCCTGATGATTTGAAGGTTCGCCCCAAGCTTGCGCTGCCTGCTGTAGAAAAATTGGCGTGGCTCAAATTAATGTTGAGAGAAATATTTTATGTTGAATTAAGCTGATTAATTTTGTCTTGTTTAATGCACAACTTTACGTGTTTTTTTGCATGTATTTATACGTACATGGGAAAACAAAAGCGTGCGTGAGCTAGAAATGACCACTAAGTAACCAAATGTAACTAATTAACCAAAACTTGTTTCGACTAATTTAATCAGTTACTTGAAGCTTGATGAAGATAAGAATGATGGAGATAACAATTAAGCAAAGTTTCAATTGTGGATACAAAGTCAAGCAAACAAGATCAAGCAAAATCATACTTTGTGATTACAAAGTCAAGGGTCTATTGTATAGGCACTCATTGTTGTATAGCCTAGCTTTTATTACATGTAGTTGGATGTAGTTGGGAGCTGCTGCCTTTATTGCATGAGACTCCAGCACTCCTATATAAGGAGTTTCTTGTACCATTTCTTAAGTGAGACAGATAAACAGATTATTTCTCCAAAACAGAGTTTAATTATAAGTTTTCAAATACCATTCTCTTCATGGTATCAAGAGCCATTTGTCTAACGATAAACCTCTGACTGTAGTTTTATTTATTTTTTCCTCTTCTGCCTTACCATCTTCTCGACTTTTCTTCAGCTTCCATGGCCGCTTCTTCTCTTCTTACTAGCTCACTTCCTAATATTTCCTATTTGGTTTCCATCAAACTTGATTGAACCAATTACATGTTGTGGCTTGCCCAATTTAATCCCTTACTTAAAAGTAATGATCTTGTTGGCTATGTTGATGGTACAAAAACATGTCCAACCACGTTTCTTGAGGATGCTACTACTCTCAATCCCGAGTACGTGACTTGGCAGCGACAAGACCAACAATTGTTGAGTTGGATTAACTCAACTTTGACACCAAATGTGCTTTCCATCGTCTCAACTTGTGACACGTCCTGAGCTATTTGGGATACTTTGAAAACACGATTTGCTTCTCAATCTTGCACCTGTGTTCTTCAACTTAAGTACTAGATGCAGTCCACTAAAAGTGGTAACATGTCCATTACAGAGTATGTTGATAAATTAACTAACTTTGCTGATCAATTGGCTCTTGCGGGAAAGCCTATTGATGATGATGATCTTATGGAGATGATTTTAAATGTTGTTTGTCCTGCTTTCGAAAGTACCGTTACTTCAGTTAAAGCAAGAGAAAAACTTATGAGTCTTGACGATATGGTTGCTTTGCTCTTGAGCGCTGATAGTCGTATGAAAGACTACAGCACTACTTTCAGTCCTGATCACACTACTACAGCTCTTTTTGCACCTTATGACTCCTCTACAAATCATGGTCGTAGAACCACACTTCACCGTGGTAATGGTCGTACATCCTCATTCCGTCGTGGTGGTTTTCAAAGTCGTGGCTCCTTTCATGGTCGCGGTGCTGGTAATCATTTTGTTAGCCGTCGTGGTGGTTCAAATAGTGGTTTGTTTCACGGTGGATCCAGTCGCGGCTTATTTCAGAGTCGAGGAATTCTTCCTACACCTGTTGTTGCTTTTCCTCGCTTTTCCTATCTTCCCAACCATGTTGCGGTTGCTCCTTCATCTTCTGGATATCGTAACATTGGTTCTTCCTCTAATGGTTGTTACTATTGTGGTGATCATCGTCATTCTACTACAAACTGCTTCAAGTCTCATTTTTTCGAAGGGCGATATCCGTTTTCACAATCTCATGCTATGATGGCTGCATCTCCTGTAGGCAATGAATGGTCCCCTACATGGTATACCGACAGTGGCGCATCATCACACATCACCAATGATTTAGCTAATTTGAGCATCTCCACATAATACACTGGTCAAGATCAAGTCGTTGTTGGTAATGGTGCAGGTTTGTCTATAAAGCATATTGGTTCCGGTTTCGTATCTAAATTTCCTTTAAATTCTGTGTTGCATTGTTCTTCTGCTTCCGCTAATCTACTGAGCGTTCATCGATTTTGTTGTGATAATCATTGTTATTTCATTTTCACTCCTACTGATTTTTTTGTGAAGGCTCTATCCACGGGGAAGACGTTTTTCCACGGCAAGAGTGAGAATGGATTGTATCTGTTTCGTGTGGGTTCGTCGAAGTTTCCCTTCAAGAACATGGCATTCTTTGGACAACGAACCTCTTCATTTATGTGGCATCAGCGTTTCGGCCATCCATCTCATGCAATTTTTACTAAAATTATGTCTTCTTTTCCTATTAAGGATTCTAAGTTACCTAGTTTTTGCTCTACTTGCCCATTGGGCAAAAGCACTAAATTACCTTTTGCTTTGTCTCCATCTATTTCCGTTTGTCCTCTTCAATTGATCCATTGTGACGTTTGGACTTCACCAATTGCCTCTGTTAAGGGTCCCAAGTATTTTATAATATTTCTTGATGACTATTCTCGTTATACTTGGATATTTCCTATGAGATTTAAACATGAAGCTTTTTCTTATTTTCAAAAATTTAAATTGCTTGTTGAAAATCTTTTATCTACTCATACTGTCTATAAGATAAAATCTTTACAAACTGATGGCGGAGGTGAATTTATGAGTAAGGAATTTCAACAATTTTTAACTGATAATGGCATTAAGCACTAGTTAGCATGCCCTCATACTCCTGAACAAAATGATGCTGCTAAACGGAAACAACGACATATTGTTGACATGGGTCTTACTTTACTTGCCATCGCTAAAATGCCTTCTTCTTTTTGGGTGGATGCTTTCTACACCTCAGTCTATTTAATTAACCGTTTTCCAGCACGACAATTGAATTATGTTTCGCCTTATGAAAAATTGTTTAGTCGCAAGCCTTCTTATTTATGTTTTCGTGTTTTCGGTTGTGCTTGCTTTCCCTATTTACGACCTTATAATAAAAATAAATTGGAATTTCGTTCAAAATAATGTGTTTTCATTGGTTACTCACTTAATCATCAGGGCTATCGCTGTTATGATATGTCAAATGGACGAGTTTATTTGTCACGCCATGTGGTATTTGATGAGGAAACTTTTCCATTCGACAACCCTGCACAGTCGTCCTCAGTCCTGCCGTTAGAAGCTTATTCTCATGTGGTTATCACTCCTTCTCCCTTACCACTTCTTCCTCAGGTACCTTCATCATCTCATATTTCTATTTCTCATAATCTAACATCCTCTTCTAGTGCAGCACCTCTCCCCCTTGCAACCTTCCTTTCGAGAGGCAAATCAATTGTCTCATTGGCGTGATGCAATGACATTAGAGTTTAAGGCCTTGAAAGATGCTGGTACATGGGAGTTGGTACCTTCCTCATTTGCTACTCATGTTCTTCCTTGCAAGTGGGTCTATCGCATAAAGCGGAAATCTGATGGTACGGTGGAGCGATATAAAGCTTGTCTTATTGCCAATGGATTTCATCAAAAGATGGGTGTTGATTACATCGAGACTTTTAGTCCAGTGGTTAAGCATGTTACCATTCGTCTGGTTCTTGCCCTTGCAGTTTCTTATAATTGGCCTATACGCCAACTTGATGTACAGAACACGTTTTTGCACGGGAATCTCTCTGAAGAAGTTTTCATGAAACAACCACGTGGTTTTGAAGATCCGAGTATCCTCATCATGTTTGTCGTTTGCGCAAGTCCTTATATGGCTTGAAACAAGCTCCAAGAGCCTGGTTTCATCGTTTTTCTTAATATCTTATTGATTTAGGCTTTGTGGCATCACAAGCAGATCATTCTCTCTTCATTTTTAATAACCATGAAGTGTATTTGATTCTTCTAATCTATGTTGACGACATCCTTATCATAGGAAATCAATGCTCTTATGTTGATTCACTTATCCATGCACTTGGTTAGAGTTTTTCTATGAAAGATTTGGGACCCCTCCATTTTTTCTTGGGTCTTGAAGCAACTCGTGGAGATGATGGGTTACATCTAAAGCAAACAAAATATATTGTTGATTTGTTGAAGCATGTAGATATGTTGGAAGCCAAGCCTTGTGCTACTCCAGTTCAATCTAGCTCTCCACTTCGCTCTTTTGATGGTGTTCCCTTGCATAATCCTACCAGCTACTGAAGTGTGGTCGGGGCTCTACAGTACTTAACCATCACCAGACCTGACATCACGTATGCAGTGAATCAGGTATGTCAGCATATACACTAGCCCACCTCAGTTCATTGGATTGCAGTCAAGCGAATCCTTCGTTACTTAAAAGGCACAACTGAGGAAGGGCTCCAGTTTCGTCGTGGTGGTACTGATGCCGGGGATCCAGACACTAGACACTCCACTGGTGGTTTTTGCATATATTTTGGTCCAAATTTAATTTCTTGGAGTTCCAAAAAGCAATGCACAGTTGCTCGTTCAAGTACCGAATCAGAATATCGGCAATTGACCATCACGGCAACTGAACTTGTTTGACTCCAACAACTGCTGCAGGAGCTTTGCATCAGTATTTCGACTCCTTTGATTTGGTGTGATAACAGAAGCTCCATTGCATTGCCGTCTAATCCCGTGGTCCATGCTAGAACAAAACATGTTGCTATGGATTATCATTTTGTGTGTGAGCTTGTAGTGGCAAGGTCATTGAATGTCCGTCATGTGTCTACTAAATTTCAGATTGCAGATATCTTCACTAAGGGCTTGTCTACTGATTGTTTTCATTTCTTAAAGTCCAAGCTCGTTCGTCGTCCACTCATGAGCTTGTGGGGGGATGATGAAGATAAGAATGATGGAGATAACAATTAAGCAAAGTTTCAATTGTGGATACAAAGTCAAGCAAACAAGATCAAGCAAAATCATTCTTTGTGATTACAAAGTCAAGGGTCTATTGTATAGGCACTCATTGTTGTATAGCCTAGCTTTTATTACATGTAGTTGGATGTAGTTGGGAGCTTCTGCCTTTATTGCATGAGACTCCAGCACTCCTATTTAAGGAGTTTCTTGTACCATTTCTTAAGTGAGACAGATAAACAGATTATTTCTCCAAAACAAAGTTTAATTATAAGTTTTCAAATACCATTCTCTTCAAAGCTTTCATTAGTTCAGTTCGATCAGTTTTCTGTTGCTTTCCTTTTTGTGATTTGGGTTGTAATATCAGGTGCCAAATAGGATTAGTTAATGGAATATCTTTCTTTTCAATCAATTAAGGTTTTATAAGTTGCTTCAACGTGCTTCGTCTCAATAGACGTTTTTTTAACAAACAATAAGATAAATTACACTAAATTGATTTTAACTACGAAAATGGAAAAGAGTATGAACCTGGAAGACAATCAGTTGAAGAGGTCTTGGTAAACTTAATGCATTGTCATCGACTGACCAACTACCTCTTACCAATGATTTTTAGTACTTTTTCAGCTTGGAAGAGATCTGACTTTTCACTTAACGAAAACAATATAACAGTACCAAATTATTCTTAGAACCTAATTTGTTTTGTTAAATTTAACTATAAAAAAAAAATAAAAAAATCTAAAAAGTAGTATATTTCTTGAATACATAAAAGTCAAATTCTTTTCACTCCTACAAGTCCCTGATCGTATCCTCCATATGGACAAAAGCATGTAGCAACGAAGAAGGTCGAACCAAGGAAGGTACGGTTCCCGGGCAAGTCTACCAAAAAGTCTAAAGACCAAGAAGATTGAAAGGAACTGAGCTGTTGGCCTGTGACCTGTCACTCTTCAAGTTCAAATTCCACTTTGCTTGCATTATTCGTCGACTTTGTTTTTGTCTCGACTTTGGGCTGCTCAACCTGCTTTTTGAGGGGAAGTTTCCCTAACGTCCCGAAGATGTCTTTTGAAATCATATTGATACACTAGAAAACCTAAACCCCAAACAAGTTGTACATGTAAGCAAAGTTCTAAAAAATGCTAGGTAATAGTCGAAGCAGTAGTCAGCTGCTTAGTGTCTGGACAGAGCCTAGACGGCGCTAGTTTTAGAATAATATATAAGTTAAGTTAATTAATTAAGATAATATGTCGGCTTCTTGGATGCAAATTTCGAATTCGTATCAAAGACAACAAATATTTGTCCTATATGTATGATATATGAGTGTGTTTAATCACATATAGCCTGTTATTGGTATGGTAAATCCTCTAATTGATAAGTAGTGGTATAGTTGGACTTTATTGTTGATAATTAAGCCATGACGATTCCTATTCCGACTTTAATAGGTGAGTTAGTGACACTTAATATTGCAGTCTAGTGATATTCTTCTTCACTTGTAAGTGAGAGGTCTTAGATTCAATTCTTATCAAACGCAAATTTGAACCATGTTATAGCTCGCTAATTGTGAGGCTTAGCCCATTCTCCCACCCCTTAATGTAATATCGTTTGTTCATTAAAAAAAAAAAAAAAAAAAGGCGGTGAGTTAGTTATAAATTTAGAGGCTATAAAGGATAGGTCCTTGCTCTCACAAATATACGGTTTCATATGGAGCTGAAGCTCCATTGGATGGCAGAATGATTCGCTGAGAATAGAATTGTTGGGTGGGGGTGGGGGGAAGCGGGTCAAGCCGGGTCTATTTAGGATGGATCCAGACTCGACTTTTTTTTTTTTTTTTTTTGGGTAAATGAGTCTGAGCCAATTGGGTTCATATAGTCATGTTCCTATGGATTGAACGGATCCGTTTCCAATCATATGTTGTATAACAAAAAAAACAATATAAAAAAATCTTTATTTGTTTCTGCTAAGAAAGAATTACGTCTAACAAAGTCAATACCAACAGTTGTTTTACTTCTTAATGTTAAATAGATATGGAATATAAATCATGTGCTTCATTGTGGACCACGAATAAAATGACCAGTGCTAAAATACTTAAACTGACCGGGCCGGGTTACCGCACATAAGCAACATAGACTTGATTTTGGACTCATTTTTATACAAGTCATGTCCATTAAAATAAAAACTGAATGATTTTATATTGGACCAGATTAGTATGAATTTCTTTTGTTAGTAATTGTTTTGGTTAATTATGTTGTTATGATTATTTGCATTGTTGTCATTGAAATATTCCAGTTGTCGACTCTTTTTAGCTGGTCTTTCCTTGGGTTTCAAGCGAATCACGCCCTGAAGTTTATGGTTGACAATGGCCCAGGCCATGCGTCTTTGAGGAGAGAGACTCAATTGTAACATTTTGTATACCTCACTTTCGCATTGCAAATAACATATTTTGATTGTGCAAATGTTATAAACAGAAGTGTTGAATTTTTTAATCTTCGTTTCTAGGTCACTCCTACAAAAAATTATTTCAATTGGAGACAATTTAATCATTCAAATGTATAAAAAAATATTGACAGTGTAAGTACTGAGTAATATTTTCAGGATGAACTTTTTATTTATTTGATTCGTTTATATGACTAAATGATCTCCAATTTGAATGATTTTTTTTATAAAATTGATAATCTAAGGAATATTAATAAATCAAACAATACTAATAGTTGATTTTATTCGGTTAAGATCCGTTATTAGTAAATGAGGTCTGATCTTTTGTTTTGTTTGAGTTGTACTTTATTTAGCTGGACTACAAGCAACACGCATCATTTGAGTTAAAGCACATTCGCTCATAAATAATGTTACGGATATGATGAAATATTAGTCTTAGGCAAAAATTAGTACATTGTTCAAAGTACAAGAAGCTTTACTTCAGTCACACCCATTCACTAATTGACCCCGTTTTTGGTCCATTGCCCTTAATTAAACTTATCTTATTAAGTTAAACACAGATTAAACAAAGCAAACTTAGCTGATTAGTCCCTTAATCATGTTTCCCATTTACATGATTAGAGGATAATCCTTTCCTCAAAACCCCTCGTCCCACCCACCAGAAGCTTCCTCCCGTCTCACTCCTCTTTATAAGACAGAGGTGGATTGTCTGTCCTCTCATTTTCATACTTTCTCATGCTCTCCTGTGATGTGTGATCGTGGTTAAGTCATGTTAATATTTTTTATTAATTTTTTTGTAGAAATAATAAATAAAAAAATACTAAAAATATAAAATATTGACGTAACTTAACTATGATCACACAAACAGAAGAATACTGGAGAATATAGAAATGGGAGGGCACTCAATCCACCCCCTTATTAAGACCCCTTCACTACTCTCTCTCTCTCAAACATCATAACTCTACTCTGTTTTCCATGGCTTCTGCTCTGTTTCTAATACTCTGTTGCATCACGCACTTCTCCCTTTCATCCTCACAACCACTCTTTCTCCCTCTAACGCACACCCTCTCCCAAAACCAATTCAACAGTACCCCCAGCCTCCTCAAGTCCACCTCAGCGCGCTCCGCCGTCCGCTTCCACCACCACCACAACCGCCACCACTACCACCGTAAAACCAACCAAGTCTCCCTCCCCCTCACCCCCGGCAGCGACTACACTCTCTCCTTCACTCTCAACTCCAACCCTCCCCAACCCATCTCCCTCTACATGGACACCGGCAGCGACCTCGTCTGGTTCCCCTGCTCCCGCTTCGAATGCATTCTCTGCGAAGGCAAACCCAACTCCACAACCCCTCCTCCCAAAATCCCACCCGCCGCTGCTGTCCCATGCGACACCACCTCCTGCTCCGCCGCCCACTCATCCCTCTCCCCCGCCGATCTCTGCGCCATCTCCCGCTGCCCTCTCGACTCCATTGAAATCTCGGAATGCTCCTCCTTCGCCTGCCCGCCCTTCTACTACGCCTACGCCGACGGAAGCTTCATAGCCAAGCTCTACAAGCACAGCTTATCAATACCCATGTCATCTCCTTCTCTCATTCTTCGAAACTTCACTTTTGGGTGTTCCCATTCTGCCCTCGGCGAGCCGATTGGGGTGGCCGGGTTCGGACGCGGTTTGCTTTCTCTACCGGCCCAGTTATCCACCACCTCCCCCCACCTCGCCACCCAATTTTCATACTGCTTAGTTTCTCACTCATTTGACCAGGACCGAGTCCGCAGGCCGAGTCCACTCATTCTGGGACCCTACGACCAGAAGCAGAAGCTACTCGGGGACGCCAGCGTCGGCGGTGAGTCGGTTGAGTACGTCTACACCTCCATGCTCGACAACCCCAAACACCCTTATTTCTATTCCATTGGACTAGCCGGAGTCTCGGTAGGCAAAAGGGTTTTTCCGGCGCCGGAGACTCTGAAAAGGGTCGACGAGAACGGGAACGGTGGTGTCGTCGTTGACTCGGGGACGACTTTCACTATGTTGCCTCAGAGGTTTTACAACTCACTGGTGGCCGAGTTCGACCGCCGAGTCGGGCGAGGCCACAAGCGAGCGACTCAGATTGAGGAACAAACCGGGCTCGGGCCGTGTTACTATTACGACAAGGTGGTGGAGGTTCCGGGCGTGGCGTTACATTTCGTGGGGAATAAATCCAGTGTGGCGCTGCCCAGGAGAAACTACTTTTACGAGTTTGTGGACGGCGGTGATGGGGCGGGGAGGAAGAGGAAGAAGGTGGGGTGTTGGATGTTGATGAACGGCGGTGATGAGGCGGAGAATAGCGGTGGCCCCGGGGGTGTTTTGGGAAATTACCAGCAGCAGGGGTTTGAGGTGGTTTATGATTTGGAGAAGCATAGGGTTGGGTTTGCAAAGAGGCAATGCGGATTGCTTTGGGACAGTCTCAACAAGCGGTAGAAGGGATGGGAGTTGAAAATTTGGGGGTGGTCACCGGTGGTTTGACTCTTTTTGGTCGAGGTCAAAGGGGATTTGACTTTGACCGTCTGAGGGGTCTGTGTAAATGGGTCGGGTGTGTTGAGTAATAAGGTGGGCTGTACATTGTAACTTGTTTATGTTTTATAAGTATTTTCATAGGTTGGATTTGATGCAAAAGATGAAGTGCAAAAACAGACACAAAAAGAAATCAGACAAATTTGTAAAGTTTGAGATTAAATAATATTGTGTAATTAATCTAAGTGAAGTTTTTTTTATTTCTGCAATGTGAGCTGGCATGTACCTTGCATAAGCATCTCAACAACTTTCCCACATGTAATTCTTAAAATTAAAGTTTGTTGTGAGTACTATGATTTAGTAGTATTTATCGTCCTTACTTGTAAATAAGATTAGGTTCGATTCTAATCAAAGATGAATTTAAACTACTTTATTGTTAGCTTTTTGTGAAACTAAACTTATTCACTTCTCTTAATATAAATAATATCATTTTTTTTAAAAAGAAAAAAAATTATAGTTTGTTTAATTTACGAGCAATTTGAAAAGTAAAATTTGTTACTTGACAATTTTGTTCTCCAATAAATTCTACAAATTTAATATTATTTTGTATACCATCTAACATGAAACGAGTTTGTTTCACATTTTTTTGTTATTGAATTAAATAATAGGAATGGTGAGAAAAGACGCATTATTATAACAAAAAGAATGTTTAAAGGTTTAGAGCATTTCCAAAAGAGATGTCAAAAGATAAATGTCAAATGTTAATTTGATAACTGATGTGGGAATGTCAGATTTTCTCTTTTTCCAACCGATATGTTTTTTGGTTATAAATGATATTTGTAGGACTCATTTTAAAAAGAAATCAATTAAAATACATTTTTCAAGATTTATAATTGGTATATTAATAGGATTCACATAATAAAATAATTAAAAAAAAATTGACATCACCTTTTCTCATATGTCAAATTTGACATATGAAAACTTATATGTCAATCCACGTAAAATTGACATATCGGTTAGAGATTATTTCTACCTTCAAATTTGATTACATGGAATTTCATCTAGGATTTGACATCTCCAAAACTCCTTTGGAGATGGTCTTAGAAACTCTCTAAATGTAGAGGGTGCAGCACAAGTTATAAATTTAACAACCCTTTTAGAGATGTTCTAAGCAAATTGCTAAAAAAAGACCAATTTTTGTTTTTTTGGTCAAGCGATAGATTTTATTAGCTTAGATATTAGATTAACTATAGACAGACTTTGAATTCACACCATCATATAAAAGTTCAATATCTTTTTATCACTGTTTTAAAAGACTATTTGCACCCAAAACAGATTTTGACTTGGTTCAGAAAGTATGCGCAGAGGAAAGGACAAGGATTGTCTGCCCTCCCACCTTCGATGCCCTTACGTTCCCTCCTGTTTTGTGTGGTCACGGTTAAACCACATCAACATTTTATATTGTTTTTTTATAGAGATAATAAGACAAAAATGAATAGTAATATAAAATGTTGACGTGGCTTAACCGTGACCATACAAACAGGAGGGCACTGAAAGTGGAAGGGCAGACAATCCTTGTCCTAGAGGAAAGCTTTATCTTAGGAGGGTTTGTCTGATTTTTTTAATAAATGGGCATATAGCTTTAGCTCATAGGCAATAGGACACCATCAAAGTTAATAGAGGTGGGCGCACCATAATTATTGCTAATTAATGTTTGTCATGTTAGTACTATAATAAGGTGATGTTCTTCTTCAACTACAAGTATAAGGCTATCTCCAACTGAATGTTGGCTAGTCATCTTCAACCAAAATGTCCAGAAGGTTAGAAAGCCAAAAATTACCCGAAAATCGTCTCCAAACGAGGGTCCCACGGAATCTGAAAGGGCCAAATGGCCAAACTGTTGGCCCATTCCAGCCAGCCAGCTAGCCCTGGGCTGGCCCAAAATTTTTATTAATGTTGTTGGATATAACTGATAGGAATAAAAGCAATAGTGTCAGTTATAACCGACATGAATAGTAGGCAAAAATTTGAATGCAACGGTTAGTTGACGTGAGCTAGCTGTTGTATTCAAATTTTTGTTAATGAATTAAAACCTTTTTTTTCCTATAAATACCTAAATCATTCCTACACAATTTCTCACATAATTTTCACCATTCCATATTATCTCACTTCATTCTATTTCAATTTTTCACATTATATTTTCTTACCTCTTCCAATAATATTTCCTTCAATTTTTTCAATAATTTTCAAATGGCCTCATCTGTAATGAAAGGTAGGGCTTGGACTTGAAAAGATGATAGGAGCATATTCATGCTACTTAATTAGCTTGTTCTCGTGCATTTATGTTGTGTTTACTTAGTTATTTTAGTGTTTAAGGCCACTTTTGTGTATTTTCAGATTATAAGGCCAAAGTGCGCAAGAAGATGCAAATTGGAGTCTTTTGGAGCGAAAGAGGAATGAATGAGTTGAAGACTTGAAGAAACGACGAATTCCTACTCCAACGATGAATTCTTACCAAAACGAGGAATCCTACTCAAACAAGGTTTCCTATTTGAAGTAGGAAAGTTAACCCTAAGTTTCCCGTTTTGGTAACCTTTCCTAATCTAAACGTCCGTATTTTCTAGCCACTTTGTAGGCCTTGTATGCACTTTAGGACACAAAATCAAGGCCCTAGCCCAATTACATAGCCTTAGCCGTGACTTTTCCCTTCTCCCCTTCCCTTGCCGTGCAAGGGGGGGCATTTTTGTCTAATGTTATGTAATTAAACCCTATTTCCTTCTCCTAACCTAACCCTAGCCGCACCCTTTAATCTTTCCCTCTTTAATTTCTGATTTTATTTCCTAAATTCTAGAAGCCTTTGAATTTATTTTCTTTAATAAAAATAAGCTAGGGTTAATTTCTGGAACCAAACATATTTCAAACCCTAGGTTTTACATAATTAGCCGCACCTTTTTCCTAATCCTAGTGCAATATTCATTCATATTTTCATCAATCATTCAGCCACCAAAAGCTATTGCTACCACCTAAGCCGTCACTCCCCTAAAGAATCTATCCCATTCTTCTAAGCCGTGGCCCCCCCATCAATTTTTCACCCTAATTCATTCCAGCGGCAGCAACCATTCATTATTCTTTCCAACCGCACTTTTTCCCCTCGAACGCAGCCACCATATATTTTATTTTCTTCTCTGCTGTGCAGAAGGGAGACCAATTCCAGCCTTCCCTCATCTTCACGTAGCCACCATCATTCTATCCCATTTTTTCCTCCCTAAGCCGCAAGAATTCTTTCCCAAAACCTAACAGCCGCAGCCACAATACCCTTTCTCCCTTCAAGCCGTGCATTCACCACACCAATTCCAGCCACAATCTACCATCACACACACACACCATTCAGCCGTGATTCCCCCAAAAATTCTCCCATAATTCTTAACAGCCGTCACTACCATATCCCATTTTTATTTAACAGCCGCAGCATCCACCATCACCTTTCCTACCACCATCCACACATCCACACATCATCCACCCTTCTTGCCACACCACCAAACCTCCCTAAACCCATCTATAACCCAGAAAATCTTCCAAAAACACCATTTAACCTCGCTGCCGCAGCAAGGAGAAGATGAAAGAGGAGCTTCGACGCGCAGAAATTCAAGTGGATTCATTGGGCGTTTTAGGTGTAATTAATCCTTTGTGCTTTATGTTTAAATTCAATTGTATTTCTCTTTTTGTGAACATGAGAGGCTAAACCATTATTTAGTTAGGGGGTGATTCGAAACCATGTTTATACTTGCAATATGATTTGATTACTTTTGGTTGGAATTTCATGAATGGTGAATTCAATTTGTTTAACTGCTTGATTGATAACTTATTTGTGTATGTTTATTGAGAGTGCACACTTAATTTTCATGCATGAATATGACGCTGCTAGAATATAAGTGAATTTCACCTAATAGTTATGAACTTATTTTCACAAGTAGTGGAGGTTGCTTATAAACAATCGCGTTAAATGAATTCTTGGCACTAGTTTCATGCTCATCATAGTAACGAATGCCTCGTCAACACTTATAGTTTTCATGATGCTTAATGATCTTTGATTGTATCTTTATTGTGCTTTTCACGTAAAGGACTCTTGGAGAATGTTTTGAATTGCGTTGCGGTAACCCATCAAATTCATTAACTTAAGGAAAACTTGACGGTTAATTTAAGCGGACCTAATTAACCCGGGGTGTTGAGTTTCATAATTGATCGAAAGACCAACTGAAAATCAGCTTGTATGCAAGTGTAACGTGTGTGGAGAAGAACCTTCTAGCTAGCATTCATCCATATCTTCATCACATTCATATTTACATTCTGTCTTTTAATTACAATCTGTGCATTTAGTTTAATTTTGTCAAAACCTCAATCCCTTTTTACTTTAGTGTCCAATTTAGTTAGAAAGTATCTTAGTTTGTGTTTATAAGTGTTTTGCATTCTTTGAGTCCTTTGATTTGTTTTAGTGTTTTATTGTTTAGTTTTGCATACTTTGAGTCTAGTTTAGTGTTTTAAACTTTATTTTACGTTTTTGAGTCAGTTTCCAAGTGATTTTGCAATCCCTCATAATCCCCGGTTAAAAACGATCCCTACTTATACATATACTACAATTGTCACAAGAGGGTTTTAATTTGTGTGCTTAATTAGTTCGCATCAAAAGAAGATGAAGCTCTTTGCAGGGTCTATAGATAGGTCTCGGAAGATAGTGTGAGGGAGATTTCTCAAACAAGCGAAGGTGTTTGGACTTATGTGTTCAAAAAATACTCAGAGTTCTATGAAGGCACCATTCCATTGAATACCCAAAACCGCAAGAGTTGTTCTTCAAGATGGAAGAAACATCTTCATCCAAGTTTGAATAAATGGCAACAAGCACTGTTAGCATCTGCAAGTAGACATGAAAGTGGCACCAATTACTACGACGAATTTAGTGTTTTCATAGTTTATTTTAAATGTTTAATTATATTACATTTAATTTCATAAATTAATTTCCTTTAATTTTTGTAATTATATTTTCTAGGTATGCCAAGCGGAGGAATTGTATATGGAAGGCAGCTCAAAACCCTTTCAATTTCACGGTTATTGGGAAATTTGTAAAGGGTGGGTGTTATTTGAAGATCCAACTGAACATAGAGTAGGTCCTACACCGGTATTCGGAATTGCATCCCCAACTGTAGATATGGATGAAGATGGATCTCCTACCATTCAACAAACAAGG